ATCACAAGAGTCCACAATTAAGGTTGCATAGTGGAATGTACTTGGGGCGGTGGGAGGGGTGCGGGGGGATTGTGTACCAGGGAAGGAGTGTTTCTCTTTTGAAAGAAAGGAGCGAACTGAAGGGTCGAGGGGAGGGCTGGGCAGGGAGAGAAGTGCAACAATGAATGAATGGAAATCCAAAATCCAAATGCTCATTAAAATTATTTTTAAAATATTTAAAAAACGAATAAATTTAAAAAAACAACAACAAAACAGATGAGGGAGAGAACTGTTTAAAAGGGTTCTGTGATTAGGGATTGTCATGACAGGAGTCCAGAATGAAGGCTGCATAGGTGAGTGGACTTCGAGGAAGCGATTGTAAAACAATGAAAGAATTTTTTTTCTTTTACTTTTCAAAAAGAAGAGTGAACTAGGAGGTAGGGGTGGGCAGGAAGAAAAGTGCAACAATGAATGATTGGAAACAGTAAGTCTCTGTAAATGTTCATTAAAATTAATAATAATAATTTAAAAAAAGAATTGCCAATTCAAAGGCAGATTATTTGGATCCACCAGCTACTCTAAGGGAGAAAGATAGGTAATCTCCTGTGTGATTTACAGCCTCTGAAAACTTGATTTAGGGTCACCTATGAGTCAGTTCCAACATAAGGGCACAATAAACAACAAAACAATGGAGTGGCAGGGTCCTAATCCTAGCTGAAGACAAGACACAAAGAGAAAGAGATGAGGGCATGTGAGGGACTTATGCTACAGCCACAAGCTAAGGAACATGTTGTTGTTGTGTACCATAGTCATAAGTGACCCACAGCTGGCCCTACAGTGGGTTTTCAGAGGCAGTTAATCACACAGGAGGAGATTGCCCATCCTTCTTCAACGGAGTAGCTGGTGGCTTTGAACTACATTGCATGCCTTAGGGATGCCTTAGGGACTGCAGCACAGCTTCTTGCCACTAGGCAACCAGAGCTAGGCTACCACAAACTGAGAGACAAGAAAAATTCTTCCCCTAGAGTTTCCAGGAAGAATTGGGCCTGAATTCCGAGCACCAGCCTGCAGAACTGTGAGACAATTGACCCCTGTTCTTTTTGTTTTGTTTTTTTGTTGAGACTCATCTGACTGGCACAGGAGGAGATTGCCCCTCCTTCTCCAGTGGAGCATCAGAATTTGAAGCACACGCCTTTGGGATTACAGTGCAGCTTCTTGTCACTAGGCCACCAAAGCTCCCTATGCCTGTTCTTTTTTTTTT